TATCATCGTCTGTACTTCTTCAGCAGACAGCGAAACAGCCACTTTTTGGTTGTTAAAAAAGTTGCGCTTGTTCAAAACAGTTGCGTTCGATCCTTCGCTGGCTGTGCTGATTTAAATCTAGCGGTTCTGTTGTGTTTGTGTCGCAAGTTCAGGTAGTGACGATTCTCTCCGGCCAATCCGTGATCAGCAGAGTTTACACGTCACGTTTTGGTAGCGGGTTCGCTTGGAACTTCAACCGAGGTGGTACTAAAAAAAGTACCAGGTACTGTACCCAGTGGAAAACCCCCCAAAAGTGAACCGTACCGCGTCGTACCGTGCAGTACCATGAAGTGGAAAAGCGCCATTAGTGCTGCCTAATTCTGACTGAATTTAACTCACAAATGACAAATCAGACAGATCTTTTAATTTCAGACCTCTGTTCTGTAGCTTCCAGCGGTTCTGGTTTTGGTGATGTGTGTTTAAAGGCAGTCATTTGTTATTAGCAGAGATCCAGTCTGGCCAGAGTTAATTGGACGTGACTCTAATGGCCTAATTGATGGAGTGTCTGGATGGTCAGCTCGTGTTCAGCGCTCAGGTCTGCATCATAGTTGACAGAGAGACTTTTTGTGATTTAACTTGTGTTAAGAACTTGATTTGTATGCATTAGTAGTTTGTGTCTGCACACAACTGAACCTTACAGTGTACGGCATGCATACAGTATCTCATAAAGGCGTATTAAGTCATATCTCATGTGTGTTGATATGTTGCTGACTGTTTTAATGACACGTTCTCCTCTCCCCAAATGCTAATGGATCCCTGTTGGATATGAATATTAAGACACAGAGCGGTGCGTATGTTCAACATATTGCAACTTCCTCAAGCCCATTTTGTGTGTGCTGAACACCTCCCAGATGTGCTTCACACTCCACCCTCTGGAGTTTCCACCATACTGGGGTTCAGATTCATCTCTGATGAACATCTCTCCCTACGTCACACACACATGCACATATGCATATAGATCTGCTTTTCTCCCTATCAGTGAGGACAGAGTCTCCATCAAGTGTCATCATTTACCAAGCCTTTTGTTGTTCCAAAAATATGTTTCTTATGTTTCTTTCAAAAAGACTATAAAGAAAATAAAGCTTAAGATTTTTTTAAAATCATAACATTATCTTCATGATGATTGAGCACACTTCTCCAAATTCTCATTAATGTAATGCAAAAAGTTTATTTTATTTAATTTTATATACAATTATGGTACTTTTTTTCTTTTTTAAATCCAGGCTTTTATTATAATGAAAGTGACGTCAACTTATTTAACATAATGGTAGATACAATTAAATAAAGTTATAGAAAAATAAACTAAAAAGTATTATAGAAAACTCTATTTCTCACACAAAGTTATCAAATGAAGAGTCGTAATATTAAGTACAAGTTGCATGGATTACAGTTATGACGATTTTATAATGTTTCCATCCTTTTTGAAATTTGATTTAGTTTTTTCCCATTTGTTGTAAGCACATTACTTTGTGTTCCACACAATAACAAAAGTCAAACGGACAACATTTCTGGCTGAACTATTTCTTTAAATTAAGCAATAAAATAAAAATTTTATTAAATTAAATAAAAATTAAATAAATACAATAAAATAAAAGAGTAAAAAGCTGTTTGAAATGTCTTTTGGAGCGATATACTACATAGACACTGCTGAGATTGGCTTTTAGAAGAATATGTAAATATGTGCTGTGTGCTGTCCTCTCAATAACAAAATAAATACAAACATGACAGCGATGAGAAAACAGCAGTTAAGAAAGCATCTGATCATAGTGATGTGGATGTTTGCACCATGTTTGCAGTTCGGTACTCCAGTCAAGTCACATCGTTTTTAATTATAGCACTTTATGCAATAGACTGCTTTAAAGCAAGCAGCTTTACAGTATTAAACATGAAAAAAAAAAACAACAACATTGTCAGTGTCACTTTCAATTAAAATGACAACTTTAGTTTCTACTATAAATCAGTTCATGAGTGTGTTCATGTTGTAACTCACGGACACCTGACCTCGACGGACTGATCAGAAGAAATGAACCAGAGAAGATTTCCACATCAGAAAAGGCGGAGCTACAGAGCCACACCCACTTATTACATAATCACCACGGACCAATGAGAGTTTGAGGGTGTTTGCCAGCCGGAGTGAACTTTTCCAGAAAATGTTTCAAACTCCAAATTAACTCAGTTTTGGTCTGCTCTTGTTTGAAACCACTTCACACCAGTTCATTTTTCAGTTTAACTTGAAGTATATCAGGCCTTTAGTCCAGTGTGTGTGAGTCAGTCAAGGAGTTGTAGTGTTTAATATGCTAGAAGAGAGAGAACAAAAATAATTACAAGGGAGTTTGGAAGGAATTGAGAGTCTAAAGAGAATATATTGACCTTATCTTCAGCATAGGGTGAGCTCTCTGTCTCCAGTCGATATCTGCAGACGGCATGCATCTAATCAAGCATCATAACACCTCGATCAATACCAACAACACACCCGTCTGCTCTCGCTAATACAACACTTCCTACACATCTACATGTGGACCAAACGCTTCACACCACAGCAGTCTTTAGTATTGAGGCCAGAGCAGTTACTGCGCTGATATCCACTCTCCATTCTCTGAACTTCTCTCTCAGTCGTTTGGATCCTCTAAAGCTTGTTTTGCTCCCATGCTCCTCTCAAAGTTCAGACGTGTTTTTGTGATTTGCATCAGAGCTCCTATTGGTCTGCAGTGCATTATGAACAGCATGAAACTCACTCTGAGTAAAAGGATTCGTGACTTCAAACACTAAAGAGGAAAGTGGGGACTAAAGGAAAGGTTTTCTGTGAGCGTGATGTAAGTAGGAGGCTCACAAGAACAGATTTTGACACATTTCAATCCCAGGGAACGTTGCGACGCCTCCGTTTGTTTCTGATGAGGGAATATGAGTGAGAATCTCGAGTCTCGAGTGCCTTTTAAACTATTAGAACTCTGTTTAAAATATTGTAAAGAGACGCAAACACTGATTTTCACATTAATGCATTATTATTCTTTTTTCTTCAAATTTTATGCATGAACATATACATTTTTAAATATAAACATTTAAGCACTTTAAGAATAAATTAATCATGAGTAAAAATATGGCTACATATTCTACAGCGGCATCAGTAACTAAACCTTTTGTTTTGTGTGATGCTGCATCCACATCTTTAATAATCCAGTTTTATTAGAATGTTATAGAATTAACAATAAAACAATGAAATCTCTGGGTATTTGCAGTACAGATTATTTTATTCAATTTCTAGGACTTAAAAAATATAGGACTAATTTATAATAATAATAATAATAATAATAATAATAACTAATGTTAACTAATGAACCTTATTGTAAAGTGTTACCATTATTATTAAACCATATAATAAATAATATAACATGATTACATGAATTAACAGAAATAATTCCAAATAATAAAGTCAATCAGTCAATCAATCAATTAATAAATCAATCAGGCCATAGGAGTCCTAAACATACATACATGCATACATTATTTATTTATTTATTTATCAACAAACTACAACAAGAAGAAGAAGAAGAAGAAGAAGAACAACAATAGCATTTTAATAAATTATCTACTAAATCAAGAAATACCTTTTTATTGCTTTAGTAACAAATATCACTGTTCACAATGCAGTGCTGCTGTCATTACCATCATGGCAAGCATTTTAGAAAACCACTTGTTTGAAGACAGTTTGAAGACCAGAACAATTTCTTCATCATGATCTGAAAGCAGTCATGGTTGTGTCTGTGTCTTTACAACAATAAAGGAAGATTGCTCAAACCCAGTGATCAGGTTTTATTTCAGGACATTATTCCATGTTTTTTAGGAACTTTTTCATTCGGTCAGTCCTGTTGTGAGTCTCTGCTTCACTACATTTTACCTCCATTTAATCCAGTCCATCTCTGCTGTCCTTGCTGGTTTTTACTCCGTTTCTGTTTATTTTCGGTTTGGAAACACTTGCTTTCAGTATCTAGATCTCATGTCTCAGATATATTTTTTGCCATTATTTTCTCTCAGGGACACACAGTGTGTGTGTGTGTGTGTGTGTGTGTGTTTGTTATGAAGTAAAAAGGAATTCAGGATGAATAATGCATCATTGATGTGTTTGTCCTCCTGTACTGAGGGGATGCTTCTGTCGGTGGGTTTGGGAGCTGGTGTGACCGTGTAATCCAAGGACTGGAAACACACAGCCGCCGCAAGGCTGGACGAAAAGTGCTTTAAACTGAGTTTGGTGGAGAACAGCTGAGTCTATAGTGGACTGATGGAGAAAACTGCTCAAACTCTACCGTGTCTTAATCTCATGCCGAGCTCTCTTCAAATCTATTTTCTATTTTTTTTTTTTCTGTTGCTTGATGAATTTTATATTAATCATTTATTATATTAATACTTTAGTAATAGCAATCAAATTATATAATAAAAAAAGAAGATATCATTATTGTTATTATGCAGGTTGCCAACATTTTTTAATTATATAAATTAAATAATAATAATAATTATTATGGTTATATTCAGTTTTCAGTAACCCTATAAAAAATAAAAGCAATAATAACAGGCAATTTATTTATGTATTAGTTTGTTTGTTTGGTTGGTGGTTGTTGTTGTTGTTTGCTTGTTTATTATTATTATTATTATTATTATTATTCCTTGATTAATTTTATTTGCTATATTTGCTATATCAATATATTAGTAATATCAATCAAATTATATAATAAATAATAATATAAGATATTATTATTATTGTTATCATCTTGCATGTTTTTCATGCTAATATTTTCATTAAAAACAAAAATAAATAAAAAACAATGACAGGCAATATTTATTATTATTATTATTATGTTCGTTGATTAATTTTTTATTGATAATTTAGCATAATAATATTTCAGTTATTTCAATCTAATTGTATAATAAATAATAAAAAGGAAAGTCATGTTTCTCCTGTCTTTCAGCACACTCTGTCCAGACGCAGATATGGATGACATGTTTCAGAGGGAAGTCTTCGGCCGGCAGAGCATGTCAGAAAAGCGGACCAAACAGTACAGCGATGCTGCTCAACTGGAGATCGTCAAGAGTCACAAGTCGAAGAGTATGGACCTAGGTAACCTCACGCTCAACACTAGCACTCCCCAAACCACTTCCTGTCCCTTGCCTCACTGCTTCCTGTTCCTTTGCAATCCAGCAGCGCGGTATATGAGCCAGGGTGCGTACGCTAGCACAGCGCTTAACGTTAAAGCTAATAGTATCAGGCTCAGCAATGGCTACACCAAACTTAAAAGAGCACAGAGAGCTGTTAAACATTACAAATGATGTCATGAAGTCAAAAACTGACTTTTTGCATCCCTTTCTCTCCTAACTAACATATTTATCACTCATCTCTCAGAGAAGGCCTTCAGCTCACCTCTGAGGTGGGTTTGAGGGACTCAAGGACAGGTCAGGGTTGTTGAGAGCATACTGGCCCGTCTCAGGAGACGCAGAGCGTCTGCCGCATGGCCGCGTGGCTAATCGGAGGAGATAAAACATCGCTTTCATCCTCTTTATCCTCGGCCAACATCAAGACCACAGTCTCCTGAGACTGGACCAATGCCCCGCTCAGTCAGGACCAGACTAGACTCTCGAGACACGTCTCGCTCTTTACACTTCACTAGCAAACGTGAAATGAGTGGAAGGTGATATAGCACTTTAAAAAATGAGAAAAAGAGGGAAAAGGAACATTGTTTGGCAGCAGATGAGACCCGTTTCAGTGCCTCATCAAGCTTTAGTTAGACTGTGTGAGTTGAAGTGTATTACACACATCAGTTTTGGTGTTCAGATGTTACACACATAAATGCATACAGTACTGTACCACAAATATACAGTAGCCCCAACAAGGGTTAAAGATGCCACAAACTGAATGTAGTTCAGTGTTATTAAACAGCACTTACTTACTGACACTTAATGGATCATGACCATACTTAATAACGTAACGTAACATAACTATTAATGTATTGATGTACTATTAATGTACTACTAATAATTAATGTAATGGTTACTATGTTAGGACACCTGTTAGATCTTTTAAAATACTACTGCTACTACTACTACTACTACTACTACTACGACTACTACTACTACTACTACTACTACTACTAATAAATAGTTATAAATAATAATCAAAATTGTTTATATAAATATTACGTTTTTTGTGTAACTTTTATGTGATATATATATATATTACCATTAAAAAGTTTGGGCTCAGTACTTTTTTAATGCTATTATTTTGCAAGGTAATGTTACTTAAATTAAATCATAATAAGATGCTGTTCTTTTCATCTTTCTATTCATCAAAGAATCATCAAAAGAAAAAAAAAAGAAAACAAATAATGCATCATGGTTTCCACAGAAATACTGGGCAGCACAAGTTTTCTCATTGATAATAAACAGAAATGTTTGTTGAGCAGCAAATCAGCATATTAGAATGATTTCTGAAGATCATGTGACACTGAAGACTGGAGTAATGATACTGAAAATACAGCTGCGCATCACAGAAATACATTACATTTTACAATATATTCACATAGAAAACAGCTATTTGAATTGTAAAAATATACCATTATATTACTGTTTTCACTGTATTTTTACATACTAGACTTCTTTCAAAAATCAATAAAATATTTTACAGACACCAAAATTTAAACATAAATAAATAAATAACTAAATAAATAAATAAATAAATAAATAAATAACTAAATAAAGGAGCTGCCTTTAACAAAATTGGATAAACTTAGGCAGTAGTCTGAGAAATTTGCTTATTTCTTCCCCAGTTTTACACAATAATGAAATGAAATGCATTTATAGAGGACAGATGTGGCCGTCATTTCAAACGAGCAGCAATCCAAGCCCTCTCCTCTCGACTCATTAGAAGCACATTTCAATTCCACCAAATCCCCTGTGTTTTGTTCTGATGAGCCGTTTTCTTAAAATGGCATTTCTGCCTTCAGGTTGAGTATATAGTTTTGCTCCTCTCAGGCTTTTAGAAGAACACAATCTCCAGTAACAGTCTAAAGACAGATTTGAGAGCCAACATGGGGAAAATTACAGAGAAAAAATAAATACAAAAATCAGCCTTCATGGTTTCTACCCTATGTGTGATAAGACTGAGAGGGACAAAAAAGCCACTGGTTACACCTGGTTGATAGAGCTAAAATCACCTAACACATATATCTGCCCAATGCTTTTGAATGTTATCGCATGAGAATTCATTAAGTTCTCTCTCACCATCTCATGGGTTTTCCCACTTTGACCGTCTGCCTCTGTCTCACGTCTTGTCTCACTTTCACAGAGTGATTTGCATGCCGCTTGGTTTGGCCTTTGGAAATGTCAAGAAACATCTGTAATGGAATGAGTTGCATGGGTCTGGGAATGGTGGAACTTCTTGAATTAACCAAACACAATTGTTTATGCCTCCCTAACAGTAGCCGACGAGTTTAACCTCACTCCCCGCACAGAGAGGACCGAAGGTAAGGCCACCGGTCAGGGACACTAACCTCACGAACACACCGGATCTCTGAGTGTCTGCGCATGCTGATGTTTTGGTGGACTTCTAATGGTGTTTTTGAAAGATTTTAAACACTTTTTCAGATAAACATCTGGAGCTCTGTTTCAAAACCTAGTAAGCCGCCAGCAGCTGCATTATGTTGCCACCATATTTGCTTCACTTTGTTTAAAATCTAAAGCAGCTTTGTGTGTATCCTTCATGCAGAAAGCAATCCCAGAATGCACTGGGAGTATAGTGAGAGAAAAAAATCAAGATGTAAAAAATGTTAACTATAATATTTATTTATATATATATATTTATTTATTTATTTATTTATTTATTTTAATTCTGAATATAAAGCACTATTTTATCCAGTATGTATTAGCGTCATTAGCATTAGCAACATGCTAATTAGAATGTCTATTCTATTGAGTATATTATAATTAGTCTATTCTAACATGTCTATTAGAATCAATTGAGAGAAATGTATATTTTATTTCATTAGACACTAGAAAAACATTGTTTAAAGTTTCAGTCTATTTAAAAGTGCACTGTTTGTATTTGTGCCCTTTAGCTTAGCAGTTTGCTAATGTCAAACTCAGTCGAGAAAAATGTAGAGTACAGTTTATGATATTTCATTAGTTACAGTGTAGAAAATAATAAAACAACTGTATAATGTATAATGTTTCTCAGTTGGTTAGAATGGAGTTTGGCATTAACTTCACGTTTCTGTCTAATTAAAATAATAATAATAATAATAATTTCTGTTTTACCCTATATTTATTTGCCTTTAGCTTAGCAACATGCTAATGTCAAACTATTAGAATCAGTTGAGAGAAACGTACTGAAGACTACAGTAGTATTTCAGTAGATATTTAATAGTATAGAAACCATTGTTTTAAGTTTCTGACTATTTATAAATGGACAGTTTAGCCCAGTATTTAGGCTATTTTTTGTTAGCTTAGCAACATGCTAATGTCAAACTCCATTCTAACCAATTGAGAAACATGTAGACTACAGTTGTTTTATTAGACTCTAAATAGTATAGAGAAAAACACGTTTTATTCTAATTAAAAAATGACAATTTTGGACAACTATTAGGTATTAGCTTAGCAACATGCTAATGCCAAACTCTATTAGAATCAATAGTGAGGAGATGAGATTCCATTATCATGAAGATGCTCCCTATGTAGGCAGTAGACAGCAAGACGACTCACTAGGTTTTGGAAGAGAGCTGCAGTATTCTTAGAATGACAAATGAACAGCGCGAGACCACCGGTGACGGTGGAAATGAGTCCAGCAACAACTTTAATCTGCGCTTGGAAAAATGCCCCCCCTTTGACTTCTTGACTCTCCTATCTGCTGTTAACTGTTAGTAATCAATCTAACTAAACGACTGTGTGCGTTGTGCTCGTTAAGGAAGTCATTGTAAGTAATTGCCATCAAATCAGAGAGGGTGTTGCTGTCTTTTTTCCCATTGAAATGAAGTGCCATAGTGTTAAATAGACGTTTTGGCAGCAACTTTTTTTTGGAAAGCAAAGCACGCTGTCTGTTCTTGAGGGACTATGATGGAAGAAAACATTAATTATGCTGAAGGCAGCTGGAATGGGAAAAGAAACAGAGGTGTGTATGTATGCATGCATTCATGTGTGTGAGGAGAGATTGCTGAAGTTATGTTTGAAATAAAGAGCCTCAATGTCAGACTGCAATTAATCCATCAATGTCAAGCGTCCGGAGCAGAGAGTTCTAGTTGCAGCACAGCGGAGCAGTAGTCATGCTGGGAGTTGCCGGAAATTCATTCTGTCAAAAAAGTCAAAGCTTTTCTATATTAAAGTCAACATGAAGCGCTGTTCGCAACCCTTTTTATTTCTATTAAACGAGAGATGTTTGAAAAAATAAATGTGGACAGGAATTGTTAAAATTGGAGTTGCATATTAATCATGTTGCTGAAAAACTCCTTACATCTTCTGTTTGTCGTGGCGGTCACAGTGGTGCAAGATGCTTGCTTATCGTGTCACGAGGCCTTTAGATGAATGTATTTTGAAATGATAAGTTGTTTTGACTTCATTACAGTACAGAAGTTGAGGCTGCCATAACTGGAAGCTTTCGTTCGTTTTAGACCACCAGAGACATCTAAAAACAACCTTTAATGGACAACAGGCTCTTCTCATATGAAATCAGAGGAAGGCATTATGGCGAGACATGAGAGGCAAAACAGAAGTGGACTGTAGGCAGAAAAGGCAAATCGAGAAGGAAGACCTTCAAAGCAGGTTTTCAGTGATTCCCAACCAGTCGTATGTGCACCACATATACTCAAGCAGGTTCCATTGGGACAATCTCGATTTGTCTTTCTTAAACCTGTTAGTCTTTGTTAGCTGTCAGTCATAGCTTATTATTGAATTGTGTAAAATGAAGTGTGTTTGTGTTATTTTAGTATCATTGAGATACTGTTATAGTTTTTGCTAATACTTTACAATAAAGTTCCATTAGTTGACATTGGTTAACGATTAACTAAAATGAACTAACAATGAGCACATTACGTTATTTATTAATGTTAATTAATAAAAATACAACCGTTATTTAATGCATGTTAGCCCAGGTCCATTAAATAATATTATCATATACAACTTTTGATTGTAATAATGTATTAGTAAATGTTGAAATTTGGTAAGATTAATACATGATTTTGATATTTTTTCCCATTGCTAGTTAATGTTAACTAATGTAGTTAACCAGTGTTAACAAATGGAATCATTTTGTAAAGTGTTAATATTAGTTTGAATTTGTTTTTATATTTATATTTTCTGTTTTCATCTTAGTTTAATAATATTTTTAATAATTTAGTAGTTTTTTTTTTT